CCTGGGAGCGTGCTGGAGATCTCCTTTTAAGCAGCAGTTAATACAACAGGATTTTTGAGACGAATCTTACAAATATCATTATCAACTTTAAAATCATTTTGATCAACCAGCACAGTGTTTAATTGAACTTGTAGAAAAATGTCTTATGTTTATTATTCTAATATTTCAATTCGCAATTAATAAATGACCTCATGGACACTATAATTATCAGGTTCATTAATTAGTACATCTCTAATAATATAATGGGAAGGATTGATATCAATAAGCTGGGCTTTAAAGTTTTGAGTTAAATTTTATGTTGAATCTAGTAGTTTAATTTTATTAGTAAATTATAATTAGACATATTAGACATTATATGTTTAATTTAAGAATACTAATTTAAAATGAGGAGGTATAATTTAAAGACAAGAGCTCTTTCTGAGATCATCTTCAAAACATGTCCAATACATTTCAATATCACAAATATCTGAACAACCATCTAAGGATAAGTGATTACCATCATCACATTCTTCTTCATCAGATTTAATCCCATTTCCACAAGTATCTTGGCAATTGTTACCATTCATTATAAAACCTATATTGCAATCTTCACAAAGTCCTTGCTAACAATTATCACAATTTAAAGGACACGAATGCACGCATAAATCACAGCCATCTAAAGGATCATTATTACCATCATCACATTATTCATTAAAAGCAACAATTGAATCTCCACAAATCGATTTGCATTAATTCTCAAGATAATAATACCCTTAATCACATATATCTAAACAATTCTAATGATCACAAATTTGACAGTTCTCCTTACAAGAATACTAGCAATTATGGCATCCATCATATTTGATATCATTACCATCATCGCAAATTTCTAATCCTTCCACAACAATTCCATCTCCACAAATAGGAATACAATTTTTACCCTTAATCTCAAAATACTCATTACAAATTGCACATTCAAGATGAACATTACAAAATATACAATTTTATTCACATTCAAATTTACACTCATAACATCCATCTCCACTATCCTAATTTTAATCATCACATTATTCATTAGAAATCAAGGCTAGTTTGCCATCTCCACATTCAAATTCACATTTATAATCTACCAGATTCCATCCTTTTAAACATGAAAAGCAAAAAGAATTGTGACATTCCAAGCATTCTAATTAACACAAATTACATTAATAAGAATTGTCAAACTAAAACTCGATAGAATTATAAAGAAGTTCTTCTACATAGTAAATGCCATGGCTACAAATAGGAATGCATTAACCATTGAAGGTTTTATCAAATAGATTCTCACAAAGTTGACATTCATTAAAAACTGAAATTTTACAATTTTATGGCTTTCTATAATCGCATTAATTATATTAATAAGCAACAACGCTCATAATTCTAGATCTAGCATTTAAGATCTTGAGCATCTAATTCAAGGTTGTTGTTTATAATGATATGCTAAACGTATTAATTTATCAAGAAATTCGAAATTTGACAATAATGGCCTTCTTTGGATTATATATCATATTTAATTTAACTATCTTTATCCTCATATTTGCGAGAGAAATGGCATAAATTCCCTATCAATTGGTAATTATTGTTGCAGAACTTGCATTAGCCAAATTCGCATAAAGCACAATTTGATGGACAAGAGAATTTACACTAGTAACATCCATCATTAGGTTACAAGTTTCCATCATCGCACTCTTCTTCATATAATATCAATTGATCTCCACAGATTGGTATGCATTCTTAAGTATATGTATCAAAATTCCAGCCTGAATAACATTCTATACACAAATCTCTGATACAATTACTACACCCTACTACACAATTGTACTATTAAGAAAAAATCCCTTCAAAGGCAAGGATGTAATCATTTTTATGGATTACTTTCTAATCTGTTATTTTATTCTCTTAATATGTAAAAACTTCAAAGTCTCTAATACCAAAAGATGGTGTGTTCGCAGATGTGGTCACAATAATTGGAACTCCAATAGTAATTGTTATGGTTTGGGAATTGCTACTAGATCCGAAAGTTTCAATCCTGGTCATTTTGAGATTAGATCCACACAGATAGTTAAAATCTGCTACAGTATTTAAAGTTGGAGTAGAATAATACATTTGTGTATCGCCATTAACTTCTATGGTTACTGAATCAGTGATCTCTACACATAGAAATAAGAATGAAACTTTTATTCTAGTATGAGGATCATCTAAAATTAAACCTATGGTGGCTAATTGTGTTGTTAGGAAATTTCCATAATAATGAAAACCTATGATATTTAATTATAAAAACCACAATCTAACACATTATCATAATAAGCATTATCCTTAATCCATCCTTATCCATTTGTAAACGTAAGAGTTGTAAAATAAGTTAAAACTCTATACCATTACTAACAAATTCCAGTGGAATCACAATAATCACAAAGATATGGACATTTCAATACTGACAATTTAAAATTTGAGATCCCCCAGTATGCTGATGATTATCTAGAAACTATTATTATTATGGCTGAGTTTCCCATATGGACTATTTATCTACCTACTGAGTCAGTCTAACCAAGTGATCCACTTCCACAAATTTCTGTTCCTGAGGAATTGGGATTATTGGAGACTGCTTTTTCTCCATCTATAAATACGATGTAATATGAGGAAGTCCAAGGATCTAATCTAAATAAAAATTTAAAAAGTACAGACCTCCAGAAATTTAACTCAACCTTAACCTTATAATGAGGAGGAAGGATGAAGGTCTTTGTTATGACTGTCTATGAATTAAAGACGAATCTTCCACCGAATATGTCAGAGGTTACACAATCAGTGATATGGTTTGCATTTTCGGCTAAGTAAGTATTCCAGTCTATGATATTAAGTCTTAATTACTATCATCTGTATTAAAGGGACTAAAAAAGGATCGGCTGATTTCAGTTTGTGCAAGTACTTTGTAACAAAATTTATTAAGGAAAATGAGATGGATGAAAATTTAAAAAATGCACAATTCCCAGGATCTCTAAAACTAACTTTACAGAAGCTTCTATATCATTTATTAATTAAGTTTATAAATCAAGTTGTATTGAATAAAAGATTATCAAATATTTAAAATTAAGCATAAAAAATATCTTATCAAAAAATTAAATACAATAATTATTCCATTATCAAGTGAAAGTGATAATAAATTGAATTCCAAATAAAACACTAATAAATAATAAGTGTATTAAATTCTTCAAAGTTACTTAATCAATCACGTTAAATAAAATCGTTGTAATTTCTTATCATATCCTCTTCATCAATTAATTAATGTTATTCAACGTTTCAATTTCTTCTAAGGTCAAAATTTATTCAGAAGAGAAAAACATTTACTTTTTGTTCTTTGATCTTTAAATTAACATTTAATAACTCAATTCACTATTCTTAGAATTAATCCAGAATATGTAAATTTTTCGAAATTTGCATTCATGCGACAAAAAAAGATAAACTTTCTAAACCAATTTGATATATATCTCATTCACATTTTAATTCATCGATGTTAAACCCGATATATTTAAGGTTTCTTAGTTACGATTTTCTGATTTAATAATTAAATCTAAATTTTATCTATAACTAATTATTATGTTATTTGATAAGGATTTCATTATCAAAATTGAAAAATGGTAATTATAGTTATATTTCTAAGTTACTTATTCATTTCTTTATGTTATTTAAACTAAGAAGAAAATCTCAACTTTAGTTATTAATAGAATAAATGGATTGCCAAAATTTTGAATTGATATTCATAATCCTCTTTTCAATTAACAAAGTATTAGAACACAAAAATTGATTTTGTAAATTTTTATTGAAAATAGGATATTATCTTTTTTCTTCTTTTAGCATACTTTTATGAAAATGAAAAAAATAGTAATTAGTAAGGAGCCCTTGATTTTGATTAATTTGGAAAATATTTTTAATTCCTTTGGATTTGAATTGGAGAATTTCACTTAATAAAATTCAATTAGTTTTTATTAATTCAGGTATAATAAATTCATTTGTTAACCTAATAAACAATTCTGCCAAAAGAAAACTATTAATTCATTATAACTAACAATTTTTGTTTTCCTTTTATTTCAAGTATTTGGAATCTAATTAGGATTTCAAAAATGATTTTTTAATTTTATTAAAAGGTCATGATTTGCAAGATGGATGCTCGACCACATTTATTTGTTAATAAAAGTCATCTTAAATAAATAAATATATGCTCTTTGAATTCTTCTGCCATGAACTAAATCCAAATTTCTTTACTCCTTTTCATCAAATCTTATATTGTAATCTATATATGTTAGGTTTAATTCTAATAATTAAAGAATACTTCTTGGATTAAATTTGAATTTTGAAGATCTATAAATCAATTATATCAGTTAATAATTTTAGTGATTGAACTCTTAAGAAAGGATTGCGAGATTAATTAAAGAAAAATGCTGAAATAATATAGAAATTAATACCAGAGTCTATTCCTGATAAGTGAAAGAATCCCTGAAGTCTTTTGCAAACAATTTCGCTACAAAGAAGCTGACCTAAAAAAATTGTAGATCATGTCTCTAAGGTTAATTCAAATGAAATTAATGATTCATACTACAGACTTAATCAATGTAGAAATTTATTGAGCTTTTCTAATTAATATTTATTCTTCAAACAAAAAGTAAAAATCAAAATATTTGATATATAATTTATAAATTAAATATAATATTTAATCTGTTCTCGCTTTAATGAGGAATAGAGATTAGGAATAACTT